CCCTCCCCCTGCAAACGCAGCCGTCGCTCCCACCATGGGCAGTGGTGCTGCAGATGGAGCTGCTCTGCGCAGCCTGGCCCCCGCACACCCCACTGAAACAGCCGAGACCCCCAGGCACAGCAGTGTGTGCCCACAGGAGCTGCTGAGCCCCGGGGCTGACACCGATCTCCCTGGCAGCTGAAGTTACAGCTCCCTCAGCGGCCGCATTCCTGGGCAGTTAGAAATAGCACGACGTAGGGCCTGCTGGCATTTCCAAATGCACCGGGCAGCAGATGGCACAAACGGGGCAGGCAGTGTGGACGGAGAGGTCTCCAAACGCTGCCGCAGTGGTCACGAGCCACACGGGCAAGCGATTCTGGGAACCGGAAAACCAGCAGGATGGCACCAGCCGGGACACAGGAGCACGCAGCGCAGCCTGGGACCTGTTCTCCCACTCCCTGCGAGTCTGCAGACGCCGGCTCCGAGCTGTTTTGGAGGAACGCTGACACAGTAATTAAGCTGGATGCCTGGTTTTAGCTGACTGAACCATCCAGAAACCACGCCAAGAAAAATCTCAAGTATTCGTCTTCTGGGCTGAAACACTTCAAGAGACCACGCAGGTGGTGTTAGAAACCGGGCTATCGCAGCAATCGCCACCACCACTCCACATAGAGTTGGTCACAGAGCCCGTCTGTGCCCCTGGCAGAGCCGAAGAGACGAGGGAGAAGGGAAAAGAGCGGTGATTTATGCTGCTTCATCAACTGCTGGCAAGCAGCGCGGGCTGCGTGCACGTACAAAGCCCCGAGCGTCTTTGAAGGTGAAGTCATAACCCAACGCTCCAAATTTTACGTTACAGCTTGCTATATATAGCGAGCGTGCAATAAGCTTTAATTCTGCTGTTCGTAGAGCAGCGTGCTTTCCGTGATGAATGGCGAGATGTACTGATAGAGGGTCTATTAAGCTAATAGCTGTAAAATTAAAGCCTTCAAAAGCCAGTATTTTCAGTTTTAATGGTTCCGCAGCCGCAGACTGGGGGTAGAGGGGATGAGGAGATGCAGGAGGAATAAAGGGTTTTCCTGACTGAAAAAAGCAAGTGAATGCCCCCGTTGTGAACTCGTTTCGCATCTCTCTGGCAGCAACGCCCCGGGTACACCAGCAAACCCCTGCTGTTACACCAGAAACGCTGGGGTGCTCACCACTGCGAAGCACAAGGGAAGAGCAGGCGCTTGGCTCCAGGAGTGTGCAGTCCATGCAGCTGCAAGTTTCAATACGGCATCGCCACGGGAGCGAACAGACAGCACGGTGCAGGAGCACGGGAGGTTTTCCCAAGAAAAGGTCAGGGTAGGAGTGCTGAAGGCCACAGGTCTGGCTTTGGGAGCAGGTCCCGCACACCACATGGGCTCGGTGTGCCAAGAACAAGGCTTTTCTGCACCTCTGAAGACGCTGAGCAGGCACTTTCCTCCTGCACTGCTTGAAACCGAGTATCTCACAAACGTGACTTGTACAGGTCGCTAGTCTGCCTGCTGTTCATCCAGAGACCTCGTTTCACCAGTTAGTTAACAACAGGGCTTTGGTAAAGTACTTCCTTTGCAAAAAGAAGGTACAAGGACAGAAAATTAAAACCAAAATGCTCATAGCAGCTTTCCCAACCCAAACCGAGGATGTAAAAAGCTGCAATTGCTTCCAGTTTTACACGCATTTACAAATTACCTGAGTTGTCTGTACACTTTTCACAGTGATCACCCTCCGTGATTTGCAGAGCAGCACCACATGCCAGAAAACATCAAGTTTCCCAACAAGAAATGTCAGCAGCCACAACCCTGTGCTGTGCCCAGGCTCCTCCTGTGCCCTCGTGCTTGCTCTGTGCTGATCACAACGAGCCCCGTACAGCCCATGGGGAGGGTTTTGTAGGCTGCAGCGTTACCACTCCAATGCCTGCTCCTAGAAACTGCTGGAGCAGATCTGAGGCTGCGCTGCCTTGCAAAGGCCTCAAAGCTTCAGATCCTGAACAGCACTCAGGTGTCGCTGTGGGCCTCGGGCTCGGGGACTGCAAACCTCAGCAAAAACTTCAGGTACACCCTTCAGTGTCGAGGAACTGATGGAAACACCTCAGTGCAACCTTAGGAACATGCACAGAAAGCAATAAAATCCAATCCTCTGGAATGGAGAGACAGGGCAGGTCTCTGAAATAATGCACTTTTCGGTAAGTAACACCAAAACACCCGACACGCTGGTCTGACAGGGAATTTAAATGCGACACGGGGAACACGGGGAGGTTTGCTCAGCTTGCCCAGCTCTGAGGACTGCGGGGTTCTCCAGCCATCACACCACCTCCAGACAGACACATCGGGGTCAGCAGCTCACCTCAACACACATAAGGTGGGAAATCATCCCCGAAAAGCCAGTGGAAGGAGCCCAGTGAAGTGGAGATATGTGTTAAACACACCTATACACCCATTTGTACACGCAGAGGTTTGGTCAGAGTACAGAGGGAAGGTCTGGCCCAATCCAGGCCATCCCATCGTTTTCTCCTTATCATTCTTTCCCCATTTACAGACCTGCTCTGCGCCTGTAGCTCAGGCCCCCATCGTGTCTGCAATAAGCCAGGTCTGGACTTGGAGCTCCTCATGGCCACACGCGTTCCTGCTCCACATGGACGGGCTGGCACAAACCTGACCGATCTGAGGCACCGGGTGCTGCTTCACCCTGCCCTTCTCCTGCCCAAAGCGTTCAATCATTTGGGTTGGAAAAGCCCTTTGAGATCACAGAGTCCAACCATGCCCTGACACCACTGACCATGTCCCTCAGCCCCTCATCTCCTGTTGTTGAACCCCTCCAGGGATGGGGACTCCACCACTGCCCTGGGGATGGGGACTCCACTGCCCTGGGCAGCCCCTGCCAGTGCTGAGAACCCTTTGGGGAAGAAATTTCCCTTCAGATCCAACCTCACTCTCCCCTGGCACAACTCAAGGCCGTTTCCTCTCGTCCCATCGCTTGTTCCTGGGGAGCAGAGCCCGACCCCCCTCGCTACCCTCTTCTTTCAGGAGCTGCAGAGGGGATAAGGTCTCCCCTCAGCTCCTCTTCTGCAGTTGAACCCCCCAGCTCCCTCAGCCGCTCCCCATAAGAGCCGTTCAAGAGCCCTCCTGCACCCACAGGCAGGGTTTGCTTACACCCGTGTTGCTCTGTGTTCAGCTAAAGGAACTGACCACCACAAACCCTGAACCAACCAACTCCGTTAATCCGGTTCTGTTACTCCTGACCAGCTGAACACGTCCTGCCCCTCTGCCCAAACCCCAGACACAGATAACACAGCGTTAACCAGTGTAACCAGCCGTGGCACACCAGCCCACAGCAGCAACCACCGCTGGCAGGAACGGTGATGGCATCTGCCCTGCCAAAGCCACCCCAAACCACAGGAACACGGTGAAGACAGCTCAGAGGATGAAGGCTGCTGCTCCTTTAAACAGAGCACGGCTCTGACGGCAGCCATGGGTTCTGACCGTGATTCTGTCACTGGCCAGGACAGCGTATTCTGGGCACCGCGTTTATACTCCAGATCTAGCTAATAGGAATTTGGGTCCGATCCAAACGCTCCTGATACAATGCAGTCTTTAGCTGGCGTTAAGCAGCATCCGAAGGGGCAGGATCAAGGATGAAGCCTACACACTGCTGCAGTTACACATCGTCACTGCTGGAGCGCCCCGATGCCTGGAGCACGCAGGGGAACACACCACGCGCAGTTACTGACTGCAGCCAGCCCTGCTGAGGCGGAGGAACAGTCCTTACGGTGTGGAAAGGAGCAGGAAAACCATGGGGACAACAGCGTCTGAAGCAGACCTTGGACAACAAGACTCTTCCCAATGACTAGTCATGGTTTTCAGACAAAAAGTCCCCTTGTTTAACTGTCACAGATGAGGCCTGGTCAAGACAGCGATGACTGAAGGCTGTGAAGCGACTCTGGGTCTCGTTCAAGCTGCTGGATGTTCCTGTGGACATCACCGAGGGCAGCGTTGCAGAGAACACCAACTGAAGTGACAGATGGTGTTTGTGCTCCCAGTCACACCACAGCCTGTAGGTTTAGGTACCAAATTTTCCTCCTGGGCAAAGTTTTTAGTGTTTGATGAGAAAGGGAGTCCCATCCCAGCCAACGCTTCCAACCAGCAGAAGCAAAGGCATTACAAAGAGTCAGCTCCCATGTTCCCAACTTCTTGTCCTCAAAGAAAGAGGGTGCAGGTGACACCCAAAATAATTTGATTTGATGATGCAGGCCATGTCCCAGCAACACACTGACATTTCAGACACAAGCCAAACCCTAAGTGCTGTGAGAAACACTGGAACACTGTTCCCTGTTAAAGACAGGTTTTGGTACAATCATGGTGAAGAGCCGCAAAGAAAATTTCTTTGTAAGAAACCCAAACCAGAGGGGTCAGAGAAACGCAAGGGGCGTCCCAGGGTCCTTAACTGTTATGGGTGACTGCTGGGCATCGGTGCCTAGATACGATAAGTACAATCTCAATTCCAGTAAGAGTTTTTGAACCACGAGATATTTCAAAGGAACTTAAAGCCCAGGAGCTATCAGCCCTCCAGCCACACAGGATCAGTTCTGACACAAAGCATCCTCAGTGCTCACCACATCCTCGCTGTGAACGGCGCTAATACATTACTACAGTTTAATTAGCTCTCTGAACGAGCGATATTCACAATATCAACTGCTTTGTACTCCCTTCCAGGAGTGGGGGCTCCAATTGCCATGGCCCCCCAAAGGTCTGGAGCCAAAGGCTCTCACCTTCTCTGAAATCACCACCGAGTTTACCAATTTAGCAGTTGTCAACATCAGCTTTGATGGAAAAACAAATGCAAACAAACCGGGATGTAGATTAAAAAGCATAAGGAGATTATTGCACGGGAAGCATTAGTCCAGCGAGCACTCACCTGATACTGGAGGCAAAGTTATGTCTCAAACTGCGTTAAGAGATCTCTTATTTCTGGAGTCAGATGCTCCACTGCCTTCGCAGCTTCTGTGATAGCTTTCCGATACATCCCTTTCTTCTTGCGATTAAATCTCAGTTTGAAAAATTCCGAGAAAGGAGAGAGTTTTGAAACAGACAAGAACGAGGTCGTCGGAGAACCAAACCACGACACCTTAGCTTCTCGCCACGAAGGCTCCCCGTTTTCCTTCTGGCTAAGGTTGATGTCGAGAACACGTGCTGGCCACCATGGAAACCCGTGAATTTTACCCCAAACAACATCCCCCACCGACACAGTCCTGCCGTCTTCCGTGACGCATTTGGACACGCTCTGGGTGTGCAGTCTGACTGTCAGTGGCGGCACGATCTTACGCTCATCCTTGGAAGAGGAGGAGACGGACGCGTCGTCGCCAGGCAGAAAGTCACACATTTCTGGTGATGCCACTTCTGAGCTGGAAGACTTGGACTCGTCCAGGCTGTCGTTACTACACACCGACAAGCTAGAAGAGTCTGCTTTTCTTTTACGGTAATTCATAAGGAAAGCCAAGTTCTCATGTCCATCTTTACCCTGGGGAAACCTCTTAAAGTCGTCGTCTTCACCTGAGCTCCCCGAGGAGATCTCAGCCAAACTCCTGTCTGCGGACTCGTCGTTGTAAAAGGCGCCCGGGTTGGACTCGTGGCTGTTCTGGAGGACGTTGATTTCGTCAATAAGCTCTGCCTTGTAGATCGAAACGCTCTGGCCGTCGTTCACGCGGTGGGTCTTCAGCCGTATCTTTGGGGGTGGGACGTCGGAGCTGCGGTTTTTTTTTTCAGCTGGGGGAGGGGGGCGAGCTGGCTGCCCGCCGACCTGTCCAGCAGACACTTGGTTTCTCGGCACCGCTCGGCGTCCCTGCTCTCCTCTTGGTCCTCCGCTCCGTTCTGCAACGCCCGCTCTGCGCAAAAGGGCTTGACCGCGCCGTGGACCCGGGAAGGGATTTTCACAACCTCGCCCTTCCCTTGCGGAGTGCTGTAGGATATTTTTATGACCGGCGTTCGATGCACCAGTTCCCCAGAAAACTTCTCGTCCTCCCTCTTTTCTCTTTTGTTCCTTTTCTCGGCGTAGTCGGAGTCGCTGTGCTTCTTCTGCTCCTTGTCCTGAGCGCTCAGCTTCCTCCTGGTCTTG